CTGTATTTCAGTATGGGAAACCACGTGGGCACTGGTGTGGCAGGAAACATGGCTAAGGCTTTTCCCAGATGATGGGCAGAGTGCTTCAGTTCCATTCAACCAATTCCACTCAACCATGCACTTGCTGAAAGTCAGGTCCACATTCTAGATGGTAAAGATAGGAGCATGCTGAAAAGTATTCTACATATCAAATTAACTGAACATTTCATTTATCATGGGATAAATAGAGATACAAAAGTAAACTGATAAAAATCATCTGCTTTCATATAGGAAACTCAACACCGTATTTTTGGAGATAGTAGGATTTTTCTTGTAGTTTCTTTTGATTATATGCAAAATATCCCAGTTTTATGCTATTTGAAATTTATTTTATAACTTATCTTCACTACAATGATTCTCACTAATTAGTTACTTCCCCGCTCTGTAGTCATTCATGCATTATGTTTTAGATAGCTATAGATAGTACACATTATAGAACTAAGGTCAGGACTTGCTATTTCCTCTGTTTTAACAAAGCAAGGCTTTAATGAGGTATCTGGCTGGTATGCTACATGGCACAGAATTTAGGAGACACATCTAGCCTTCATTTGAAAGTGAATATCCAGACTGCTAACAATGCCACAATACTTTGGCAGTCTGGACTGGTGAGAGAACAAAAAGTCATTTCTATCTTCAACTTTACAGTGATGTTATTCTTGACTAGGAAGGCACATTTTGATGAGAGCCTTTCCATTTTGAATTCCCAGAAAGACTTGAATGTGAAAATAAACTCAAAGAACTGAAGCATTTGTATTTCTGACTCGATTTCAGCACCTCTAAAATGGAAATTCTACAATAAGATGTGTAAAAGTTCATGTGAGAAAAATCAATACACACAGTAGCCCACTTTTCTCACCCATTTTGCTAACATTCTATGAAATAACACTTGATTCAATGCAGATGTTCCTAAATATTTTAATGAAACATCTGTGTGTAGTACTTCACCACACCAAGAACTCTAGTAACATTTGTGGAAGGTGTAACTGAACTGCCATATCTACCTCCTAGCCTACAGAGACTCCCTGAGTGACAATAAGTATACAGAAGATAATTTAAAAGCAGTACAAAACACCAATGAGACTAAATATGTAGCATGAGGAGAAGTTTCCATGGTGATTGCTTCAACTGTCTCTGCCATGGTTAAAGGATTTGAAACTCTGTCCCAATCCTTCCCCATTCCCTCAAAATAAAATCTCTCGACTGGGTGCACAAAGCATTTAAATACCACATCATGCTTGCTGTGTCCATGACTTACCCCAGTCTCTAATAAGTCCAGAAAGCTTTTCCCATCCCTCCAAAGTATTTGACCACCAATTTCCAGACCCCTCATCAAGAACAACTCAAACACTACTGTCTGCCCACTTCTCACAGCCAGAACGGCTAGATTCAGAAACTTCTTTTAGTATTCTTAAAATACCATCACTTGGCCCGGCATTGGTGGCGCACACCTTTAATCTCAGAACTCGGGAGGCAGAGGTAGGCGGATCTCTGTGAGTTAGAGGCCAGCCTGGTCTACAAAGTGAGTTCCAGGACAGCCTCCAAAACAATACAGAGAAACCCTGCCTCGAAAAACCAAAAAAAAAAAAAATAGCATCACTTACCTCTATCCTAGACATCATCATGTTTTGAAACTGATGGTCTCAACCTCCTTGGAGACAGAATTTACCTAGGGGCTCTCACTATAGATGGCCCTCTTCGCTTTCCCATAGTGCACATGGGCTCTTAACCTAATGGTTACAAGGGAATAATGGCAATAGTAGAGTTAAAATAACATGAATTAGTCAATTGCTTCTGGGAAATAAAAAAATAAAAATAAAAACCACGATGGTCAGAAGCAGTGTGGCCTTTTCCAGAGCCTGTGAAGAGATAAACCAATTGTAACAGAATAATACAACTGGCCTCCTGTTGTGTGCCTATGTATTATGTGCCTATGTATTGTGTGCCTAGCCATTCTGAACATCCCACCTTATCTAATCTTCAAATAACAAACAGCTTGCTCAGTGTGTAGTGAAATCACAGCTTCCTTGCAAGCGCTTCCTACTCAAAACTGTCTGATTCAGTTATATGTTTACTTTAGTAATTACTGATAATTTTGAGGGGCTACCTCGATTTTAATATTAGGGAAATTCAAACACATATTTGACATGTTTGAACAAGACAAATCATTGGTGAACTAGGCTGAGCCCTTTTATAATTTACTTGCAGTTTTTTCATCGAATACCAGAAAATTTTAATTTTATGCTCTTCCGGAGCTTTGTTCTGAGATAAGATTAAATTATGTGTCTTCAACTTTTGGGAGCTTGTTTCTAACATTTGTGAATTTGGCATGGAATGTCTGGGGCTACTTTCTCCACTTTTTATTATACTTTTTTGAAAACTTTATTTGATGCATATATATCTTAAGGTAATTTCTTCCTGGCTGGTGAACAGGGTGACTCTTCTGGCCACATGCAAACTCTGAAGAGGTTTCTTCCTGCTCATTGCTCACAGTTCTTTCTCAGCTTTGGGGATCTAGTAAAAGGCCCGGAGAAACCCCAAGACCTTGGGATGTCTATATCACTACCCTTCCAAGACTCAGGTGCCATTGAGGAAAAAAGGAAGAAAGATTCTATGTGCCACAGGTTGGGGAAAACTAGAGTGAAACATTGTCTTCTGGACATGACCAGCCATCTACATGCAGGAATTCACAGCAGCTGGGGTTGTCTGCACAAGACCTGCACAAGATAAAGCCAGTCAACATGATAGCATGGAGGGGAAGGTGGTTTATTAGTCCCTACCCCTAACTAAGGAGCCAAGGAAAATTGATGGTTTCTGAAGGAGAAAGTCAATTGTCTTTAAGGGTGTAGTCCCAAGTAGACAATAATGCCACAGTTTGGGAAAAATGGAACCTGAAATGACAAAATGATAGACTGTTAGGAAGTGACTAACCAAGCATACAGCAGCTCTGACTACATACTCAAAACTTGTACAAGATCAAGCCAGCCAAAATACCAGCATGGATGGAGGAGGTGCCCACAAAGCCCCACCCCTAGCGGAGAAGCTACTGACAGCTGATGGTTCCTGGGAAAAGGGATGCAGCAAGAGGCATCTGTCTCCTTCCATAACACAGACACAGTTAGGTTTATATTGCAATGAGAGGGACACTATGTCCACAGAAACTCTTATGAAAGAAAGCATTTCATTGGGGCTTACTTACAATTTCAGAGGTTTAATCCATTGTCATCACGGCAGGAAGTGTGTTAGCATACAGGCAGACATGGTGCTGGAGAAGGAGCTGAGTTCTGCATCCAGATTGGCAGGCAGCAGGAAGAGAGAGAAACACTGGGACTGGCTTACAGTTCACCCAGAGTGACACACTTCTTTCAGGGTCACGCCTACTCCAACAAGGCCACACCTGCTAAAGCCTTCCATAAGTATTCAAATATATGAGCCTACATGGAAGATAACTATTTCTATTCAAACCATAGTGAGGAATTGACCCACACTCTACTGCCACAGGCCCACCTGGCACCCTACAGCCCCAGAGCAGGCAACGCTGCCATGAACAGGTATGTGGTGAGGAAATGGATGAGAAGGGGAAGTGGAATGGTTCGTGCACTATGGAAAGAAGCAGAACTGAAGGCAGGACAGAAGTGAGGAACAGGATGATATAGGCAGTCTATTCTGTCACCTGGAGCCATGTGATGTCCTGGCCTAAGCTGCTGCTGTGGGCCGTGTCTGGGTCCGTGGCCCAACAGCAGCTGGGGTCTGTGTTGATGTCAGTGGCCCATATTGTCACTGAAGGCCATTCGGATGCCCATGGTTTGGGCCACCACCTGAGGTCACCTAGGTGTCCAAAGGCCACGCTTTCACAAGGGCCATATTGATGTGAGTGACCTGCGCTATCACCCAGGACCATGGTGACATCTGGACCTGAGCTGTGGCAGGGGGCCATGTCTAGATATGTGGTCCTACCACAGTTAGGTTCTGTGTTGATGCCTGTGGCCTTTGTTACCACCAGCCCCTTGCTGGCTGCCTCAGTGAGAGACCTACCCCCACTTACCCCCAGAACTTGCCCTAGTGGCATGGGCATGAGAAAGCTAGTCCTGACCCTTAACAGCCTTGAGGGAACTGCATCACCCCCATGCCGGCCAGTGCCTCATCATGTATGTGGGTGAGCTGGCCCAGATGGCATGGGTACAGGGGAGCTGGCTCTGACCCTGCCCTGAAAGGAGTTGTCCTGCTGGAGGCCCAGACTGACCAACTCAGCTGCCACCCAAGACCACATCCAGGGCTTAGAGGTGGCCCACCCCATCTATGACCTGCTGGAGCACATGAAGGGACCAGGCCTGTAGAACCATGGCTTGGGGTAACAGCAGAGTAACTGAGAGGAGTCTTGGTGAGGGTCCAGTATTTATAGCATGCTGGAAGCCAGAGGCCTTTAACCAAACCAACAATTCATTGCAGTGAACATCTGCGGGTAAAGCTGCTTAGACAAAAGGGTTTACTGTGTGACATACTGCAGCTCCCAAGGCCCCTGCAACAAATGGGTACTTGATGGAGAGGTGAGAAAGATGAGCGCCGAAGTATTTTGTTGTTGTTGTTGTTTTGATTTGTTTTGGGTTCTTTAATTTTTTTTTATTTTATTTGGGGGGTGCTAGAGGGTGGAGGATGCACATGAAAGGACTGGGAATGAGTGGGATTGGGTTGCATGATGTGAAATTGACAAAGAACTATAAAAAGTGTGCTAATGAATAAATGGCACACACACACACACACACACACACACACACACACACACACGAGACGAATGAACCACATTATGCACTGACACTACCGTACTACATCACGCAGCGGGGCCTGGCACAGGTCAAAGGTGTAGAAACAGCTCCTGGTAACTCTCCTGTGTCAATGAAGAAGGCATGGTCCCTGACTCACAGGAGAGAAAAGATCATTCACTCTGGAGGCAAACATGAGTAACCATGGCCTGGAACACAGATTTCGGTTATTCAGAATCCCAGGCTCCGATATGGAAGCAATTTCATAAAGTTTTGAAGAACAGAGGAAGCCATCAATCAAGATGGTTGGCCTACATCGATGGATACAGCGGAGCTGTGATCACAGCAAAGCAGAGACGACAACTCGACTACAGACTGATGCTACCTCATAGCAGTCTCACCTTTGGGACAGAAGCTTGTAGCTGGCTAAGTTAATAGTTTGTAAAAGATTGTTAGCTGTTAGACACAGGATATTAGCCTGACAAAGAGGTAGGCAAGGAAGGGTTACTTAGGTGATTAAAGATGGCCCAAGATAAAATGTCCTTCAGCTCTGGACCTGCAACTTTCCAACTTCTCTTTATCACTGAAATTGTAATCGATCAATCAGCCTTGGCAGACACAGCTTCTGTCTAGGAATTCTCATTCACAGGTGTAAGGAAACTAGCTATGTAAGCAGACAACCCCGGGAGAATGGAGCTTAAACACTTGCTGGGCAAGTTACAAAAACTTTATGAATCTTAGTCTCTTTATCTGTACAGCAAGGCTGGGATTGGTTCTCATATCGTGTTCTCTCATCTCTGGAATAAAAACACATTAAAATATTTTTATAACATGGAGCAGGTTCAATATCACCTAAATTAAAAAATATTATAGGTGATTAAATATAGCAATGTATGTAAAGAGTTTTGAAGTGATAAAGCACTAAGTGAAGCCGAGGTATCATTACTTTAATTATGCAATTATACAGGAGCAGAATTACCTGGTGATTGGTTCTATTACCTCCTGTGCTGACACTCAAATTTGAATTCCTAGGGCCAGTCCCAAGAGGCTGTGCCCCCCTCCTCCCTCGGGAACTCAGAAACCTCTATTTTGTATTTCTAAAAGGAACTCACCACCTGCTCTTCAAACATGCACCATGCCTTCCTTCTCCCCCTTTTTCCCCTTTTCCCCTTCCTGCCCCCACCTCCCCCTTTCCCTTCTGGCATTTTGGACATAGCAGTCTTCTGATTTTGTGAGGGGGTGGTCTCCCTGATAAACTGATAAACTGAGGAAGTCAACTCTGGAATGGGGGAAGGGTCATACTGTGAAAGCTTGGTGTGGGGAAGAAAAGAAACAATTTGAAATCTCGAAAGAATGAAGAAAAAATATTCTGGTGCCTTGGCTCAGGTCTCAGCTTCACCTACTATGAGCCATGTGGTGACAGATATCACTATGCCGGTTGTCTGTGAAATAGAAGTGGCACTGATGGCATGACCGAACACAGGCGCCTGTCTTAGCAAAGTGTAGCTTATCTTTACTAGTCTGATGCTGTCTTTATACTTACACCGTTGTGGATGAAGTAGTTGAACTTGGATCCTATTAGCTCATTGTGAAGTGTGATTGCCACTAGAGTAGAGAAGCATTACATGAGAAGAAAATTTCCTGTTTAGGAATTAAAATCCTTCCCCAGGCTGTCCATATCAAGGAAGATGGTGGGTTGGGTCCTGCCACCCAAAGGGGATGGAAAATACAGATTTGGGTTCTCTCTTGATTCTCCTTTCTGTGTTCATAGTGATCATCTTCCTAGGGTGTGGTCAGTCACCTGTGAATTTGGATGTTCATTCTCCATGTCACCCAGATGCTAGGTGAGCTAAACACTGGGGCTCCTGGTCAGTATCTGTCACTCATCATCTGCCTGCTCACACTTCCTCACCACAGTTAGGGTGGGAATGGAAGTTTAGACTCAAGGAGAAGGTCTAACCTTAGCAAAATAGGTATTGACAGGGGAAAAAATCCCATATTACTGCATTTCCCAGTTGGGAATTTGTAGGGAGCATCCATGATAACCAAAAGTAATTTGACTAATTACTATATTTCCCATTTAAAACAAATATTCATTTTTTGTTTCTAATGTTCTATGAACAAATTTATGTAAGTGACCAAAATTATATGTTCCAAGTCCTAAGCAGCAACAGTTCATACCAACTATCCCTTTATAATTGCATAATAAAGTTTTTCCCCCAAATGTCCCTAGCCTTTGTCACTGTGGGTATGGAACTTCTGTTGCTGTGATTTACTCCTTTCCCTCCACAGGAGAAACAGGATCAGATTCCAAATCTCAGAGAATGTCTCTAAATCCAACCCATCTGTCTTAGCCACTCTTCTCTGACTGTGAAGAGACACCATGACCAAAGCAACTCTTATCAAGAAAATGCTGAAATACAGTTCCAAAGGCCAGTCCATTATCATCATGGCAGGGAACATGGCAGCACACAAGGAGACATGGTGCTGGAGAAGGAGCAGAAAGTTCTACATCCTGTTCTACAGGAAGAGAGAGAAAGTAACACTGGCTCTGGGTTGGGCTTTTGGAACCTAAAAGGCCACCCCACCCCCAGTGACGTACTTCTTCCAACAAGTCCACACCTCCTAAACCCTCTAATAGTGTCAAAGAGTTCTGTTCCCTTGTGATTAAACATTCAGATATATGAGCCTGTGGGGCCACTCTTATTCAAACTACCACACCTTTTGGGTCCTTGCATAATTGCATGTCAGGAATAGACACAGCAAAGCCACAGTTAGTAACTAACTGAAACATGGCAGACTTGTCCACACTTTGTCTCTAGCTCCTTCAGTCACCAACAAGGGGAGACATCATCATGATCATGGCCATTGTGTAGATGGAAGAGATGTGTGTTCCTGTGCCACATCGGTGAGAAAGTGAGAACAGACATCATGAACCAGCACTTACAAACACAGCATCAGTCCCTAAGAATACAGCTCTCCTCTTCTCTCCAAAGTGACCTCCTCACCCAGGGCCTGATGGCAAACAGATAAATGTTATGCTCTTCCTTAACTATTTTGTAGACATATTTCATACTTCCCTTTTCTTCACCCACCTTAACTAGAGCATGTGAATCTGGAAACTGAGAATGAAATCTTAGATTTCCATTGTGTCTTCGATAAACCTGACTCCAGACAGTGCTCATTAAGACAGGGTATGAAAAAAAATTGCTCATTTAGAAAACAAAAATAAACTGTTCAGAGGTAGACCTCACTTCCAGCTCATAGAAACTGAAAACCAAGAGACCACAGCTTCTCTCTTAGAATTTCAAAACTGGGATAAAAGGGAGATGTTAAATAATGCATATTAGAAACATTTGCATTGACAATGTCAAGAAATACCATCTAAAATATAATTCACAGGGAAAAACAATTCACATACGTCTAGATTCTGACAGAACAGCATAGCTGATTAGACTGAGAAACATTCATAGTTTGTGGAATACAGCCTAAAAACCACACAGTTATTTTTAAAATACTTTCTGACCTTCAACATGAAAACTCCAAATTTTTCAAAATGAATATTAAATACAATTATGGTGGGAATTAATAAATATACTCCATACAAGATGAGGTGTGATACAATTTTTCTCTCATCTCTCCTGTACATGGGATTTGCATGCTTTGGTTTTCATTGTGTTCTCATGTCTACCTTCCTTTCTACCTCCCTCACCCATCACCTGTGTATTAGATGGAATGTGTGCATACTTAATTTTATGTACAAACTTAACTTATTGGTGTCTGTTCCCAGAGAGCACACTGGAAAACATCCTTTTGATATTTGGCAATTGGTCAGCCATTCAATCACAGAACCTTAATTTTATTTTTAACTTAATATTTTAAATCTCTTTTGTTGAAGAAACTGTATTAAAGAGTATAAATTATACAAAATAGCTTTCTTTTCTTATTCTGTCTTATTAGTATTTGAATTGTATACAATAAAGGAGGTCATTGTGGAACTTTCAGGCATATTCACTGCCCATTACCACCCCCTTCACTGATCACTTTCTCTTCTCAAATTGCCCTCTTTTAGTTCAACTTTCATATCTTTTTTAAACAGAAACAATGGAGATTCTTCACGTGAAAAAAAACAGGATGTTTATCCTTCTCAACCTGGCTGATGTCACTCAGTGGAAGATTTCCAGTTACATTTGTTTCTTCTGCAGACGACATAATCTAATTCTCCTTTGTGGCAGGATAACACCTGTCCATGTATATGTACCATAGTTTGCTCACCCATTCATCTGTCAATGAACAACCAGCCTATGTTCTAGTCTAGGGCAATATGAATAGTGTTGTGCTGGATGTTGGTACATGCTGGCTTTGTTTCCTTCCAGTGTATACCCAGGAAAGGAAAAGCTGGAGCACATGCAAGTTCTGATTGGAATTGTTTGACAAACTCTGGTATATACTGACTGACATAGTCCTGCACTAATTTACATTCATATCCACAGTGTATAAGCGTTCAGCCTTACCACATCCTGGCCAGCACTGTCTTTTGCTTACTTCATGATAGCCATTCTGATTGGGTGAAGTGAATTTCAATCACTTACAGAGGTCAAATAAATATAATGGACATCTACCCAAAATTTGCAGCAGCCTATAGAACTCTCTATAAAGTATATCATATTTTAGACCATAAAGCAAGTCTTCGTGAATACCAAAATCAAAGTGATTTATCTTTGATCAAATCACAGTGGAATACAAGTAAAAGTCAATAGAGATTAGACAAATGCATGGAGACTAAACAATACACTTTAAAAAGTGGGTGAGCAATTAAAACATCGATAAAGATATATCCTGGGATCAAATTAGAATGAAAATATAACTTTCCAGGGACTTTGGGATATAGAAAAAGCTGTTCTAAGAGGGCAGCTCATAGCCATGACTACATACATTTAAAAGGAAAAGGCAAAGATGTACCATGGTAAATACTCTAGATATCGTATTTCTTTTTCGAGAAAAATTCAGATGGTTCATGCCATCTGTATAAGTTACATTCCTATTGTTATGATGACCAAAAGCAACATAAAGAAGAAATGGTTTCTTTTGTCTTATGTTTTCAATGGCACGGAGTCCACTACGTAATGTGTGGCTTGGTGGCCGGAGCAGGAAGAAGGCAGATCACACTTTCATGTAAGCAGGAACAGGAAGTGGGGTGAAGCTGTTAACCCTTAAAACCTGCACTCAGTGACATACTTCCTCCAGTAAGGCTCCTCGTCAAGATTCCATAACCTCCTAAACAGGGCCACCAACTGGGGTCCAAGTGCTCACATCCCTGAGCCTATGCTCACCTATGAGCTTATGCTTGCTCACCAAACCGTAACTCTATATTTATTGTGAAGGAAACATGGGCTGTGGGGTCCAAATAACAACAGTAACTGTTAGCCTTTTTCAAGTGCTTCCTATTTTGGTTGATGATCCATAATGAAAGGCTTATGCTTTCCGACTGGCTCAGTCCTCACACATTGCTGGAAATAGCACTTAACCAGCACACAATTGCTGCCCATATTTCCCAGGTAAGATCAGTGAATTCTGTAGAGGAGTAAGGACAAGCAAGCTTGACACAGTCCTGGGTAGCAGGACAGCCTTTAAAACTAGGCCATTCAGCTCCAGAAACTACCAGCCAATCAAAATAAAATATCTACTTAGAGACTTTCAACTTAAATATTTATAGTCCAATGCTTATTTTCTTAATTGTGGGGTTTTAATCCTCTTTCCAATTACCTCACAACAGGTTATCAAGCCTCATCTGGGACTCCTCGGAGATGCATGGTGGAGACTGCTTCTGGAGGAAAGTCTGTCCTATTTTTGGGCAACAGTATTAGAAAAATTCTTTGTACTGAGCTAAATGTTCTCCTGGTTTTCTGTGTGAAGGGAATAGAATGATTGGAAAGATCAGGAGATGAGAGACTAGGCAAAGATATGAGGCTGGGATGCTCAGAGCAGAGGCCACATCAGCTCAGATACTGCTGTGAGACAGACCCCTGGCGAAGGTCCAGCTGCTGGGACATACCTTTTTTCTGATTGGATGTCCAAAGGTCCAAAGGCCCCAAGAGGTCTATACATGAAGGTCAATCGAGAGATGATATTGGGAAATAGACCTACAAGATCTCCAGAGCAAATTGGGAGCATGGGGGCAGGGCAGGAGTGAGTCAGGGGAAAGAGAAGGGGAGAAGAGGACATGAGGGAACAGAAAGTTTGAGTCAGAATAGAGGAGAGCAAGAAAAGAGATACCATGATAGAGGGAGCCATTATAGGTTTAAAGAGAAATCTGGCACTAGGGAAATGTCCAGAGATCTACAAGGATGACCCCAACTAACAATCTAAGCTATAGTGGAAAGGATACATTAAATGCCCTTCTCTGATAATGAGATTGATGACTATCTTATATGTCATCCTAGAGCCTTCATCCAGTAGCTGATGGAAGCAGACACCCACAGCTAAACACTGAGATGAACTCCTGGAATTCAGTTGCAGAGAGGGTGCAGTGATGAGCAAAGGAGTCAAGACCAGGCTGGAGAAACCCAAAGAAACAGCTGACCTGAACAAGAGGGAGCTCATGGATCCCAGACTGATAGCTGGGAAACCAGCATAGGACTGACCTAGACTCTCTGAACATGGATGTCAGTTAGAAGGCCTGGGCAATCTATGGGTCCTCTGGTAGTGGATCAGTATTTATCCCTAGTACATGAATGGACTTTGGGAGCCCATTCCACACAGAGGGATACTTTCTCAGTCTAGATACATGGGGGAGAGACTAGGCCCTGCTCCAAATGATACGACAGACTTTGAAGATCCCTATGGAAGGCCTCACCCTCCCTGGAGGGCATAAAGGGGACACGGGATAGGGGGCCAGTAGGGGGGCAGGGGAGGAGGGGAGGGAGAGGGAACTGGGATTGACATGTAAAACAAGATTGTTTCTAATTTAAATTTTTTAAAAAGGAAAAAAGAAAGGAAGGAAGGGAGAGAGAGAGAAAGAAAGAGAGAGATAGAGAGGGAGGGAGGGAGGGAGAGGGAGAGAGAGAAAGAAAAAGAAAGAAAGAAAGAAAGAAAGAAAGAAAGAAAGAAAGAAAGAAAGAAAGAAAGAAAGAAAGCCAGTCCTAGTGATAGTTCTATGTCATTGAGGGTGTGCCTCCAAGGGAATGTGGGATCCTGGGTTCTCTTTTTTGGGTGGATGACTTCATTTCAGTATGTGTTCTCACCAGCACATGTTGCCTTACCACATGGCCAAAGCAACAGCATCAATTGATTACGAGCCATCATAAGCCTCTTCTCTCTGCATTTGATTATTTCAGTCATTTTGTTACAGTGATGGCGAATTGATGACACAGTTGCCTGTGCTTCACCTGGATGCCCAGTGCCTCATCCTGTTCTGAACACTGCCGAGCGTTCGTGAGCAGAGCCATTCCAGGGAAAGGACAGCTCTCCTTTGTGACTCTGATGTTTAGTGTGCCACCTGCCTTTTCAGAGTTCTACATTCACCGTTGCTATCTTTGCTCAAGCAACTGATAATCTCTCAAGAAATGTCTCGCTGGGTTGGTGCCTGAAAAGTGGACTCAAAATTGTCAATTTTCATCAAGGTGCAGAAGTCCTGTCCAGGGGTCTACAGTCTGCCTATCTTGCCCTTTTCTCCTTAGATGCTATGTTGTGAGCTTCCTCTTTGAGGAACGGTAGAAATCATAGCACTAGGACTGCTGCAGCCAGAGAGGATGTCTAATAGCATGACACAGGAAATGAAATGATAATCATATTTCTATTTAATAGAGAATCAATATTTAGCTATGACCTGATTGAAAAGTCTCTCCTTGCATGCCAAAAGGTAGAAGGTTGAGGGGTCATGGCTCTTGAAAGCCTCCCCAGTGCCTCAGCACTGAGAAGAACAAGAGTCAACTGATGGAACACGGAGGAAACACAGGAGGTCCAGGCAGAAGGTGGGCATGAGAAGGAACCCCAGCTTGCCTGGTTGGTTAGTACCCACAGCAAGCAGGCTGGCCTTTTACAGCCTTCATCAAGTGCACAAGCCTTTGGTTGGAAATGCTTGGTATCTTATCACATAAAAAGTAAGCTTTGGTGACCATGGCTAGGAAGTAAAAAATATTCCACAACATCAATAAAGATCGAGGTACCAGAGAGCAGTCTCCCTAGCCAGCATGTAAGGGCTCCTAGAGGGAAACTATCCACAGAGGAAATAAACAGGTTCTGTTCCAAGGATAAGTAAGGAATTCTGAGCTAACAAAAATAAATCCATTCTCACCATCATTCCTAAAGGCCAGGAATTTCTCTAGATATTAGAAAAGAAAGAGCAAAATCTAACAGAGTCTGCCAGTAAAAGCATCATTGTATGTTATTTTATTTACTGTATGTTATTTCCTATTGTTTTCATATTGTTCTAATAAACTTTCATAACTTCCACCTTGAAACATTCACCTTTTGCTCATGAAGTGCTCTGATAGTCAAGACCAGTAAGTGGTCTACAGAGATAGCTCAGTGGTTACAGGAATGCATGGCTCTTGTAGGGGACCTGAGTTCTATTCTTAGCACCCAGGTGGGGCAGCTCACAAACCACTTGCAAGTCCAGCTCCATGGGGACCTAATGTCTTTAGTCTCCACACCTCATCTGGGCATACCTACACACAGACACACAGTCACACACAGACACATAATTTAAAACATCAGGATAAATCTTTCTTTTTAAACCAACAATAACTCTTCTTGTATCATGTCACCGAAGTTTCAGTCTGAGTCAACCCAAACTGATATTTCAGATTCTCATGTCCAACTCTGGGACTTAAAATGGGTAGCTCAGGTCAACAGCCCCTTCTGAATGTCCAACTGTCCTCTCATCGTAAGAATTCCACAGACGTTCCCATCACACAGGATTGTGTGCGGGAAGTGCTCAGCATGGGTAAATGTTTGCTTCAGTTCTTGAGACAACTGATGCTTTTGAGTGTGCTCCATCCCATGGCTCTATTCCACATCTCATTCTACCACATCTCAAGAGTTCTAGGAAGACACGGTCACATGGTCACTAGTCAGAACAAGGATAATTACAAGAAGGTCAGGTCAAGATGGAGATAGAAGGCTGGGCATTGGTGGTGCACACCATTAATCCCAGCACTCAGGAGGCAGATGCAGGTGGAGTTTGAGGCCAGCCTGGTCTACAAAGAGAGTCCAGGACAGCCTCCAAAGTGATACAGAGAAACCCTGTCTCGAAAACCAAGCAAACAAAAAACCCAAAGGTGGAGATAGAGATGTGCAGTCATGCAGCCAAAGACCAGGGAACAGAAGCTACCAGAAGCTGGAAGTGAGAGGGAAGAGCCCTCCCCAAGCTGGAAGTGAGAGGGAAGAGCCCTCCCCAAGCTGGAAGTGAGAGGGAAGAGCCCTCCCCAAGCTGGAAGTGAGAGGGAAGAGCCCTCCCCAAGCTGGAAGTGAGAGGGAAGAGCCCTCCCCAAGCTGGAAGTGAGAGGGAAGAGCCCTCCCCAAGCTGGAAGTGAGAGGGAAGAGCCCTCCCCAAGCTGGAAGTGAGAGGGAAGAGCCCTCCCCAAGCTGGAAGTGAGAGGGAAGAGCCCTCCCCAAGCTGGAAGTGAGAGGGAAGAGCCCTCCCCAAGCTGGAAGTGAGAGGGAAGAGCCCTCCCCAAGCTGGAAGTGAGAGGGAAGAGCCCTCCCCAAGCTGGAAGTGAGAGGGAAGAGCCCTCCCCAAGCTGGAAGTGAGAGGGAAGAGCCCTCCCCAAGCTGGAAGTGAGAGGGAAGAGCCCTCCCCAAGCTGGAAGTGAGAGGGAAGAGCCCTCCCCAAGCTGGAAGTGAGAGGGAAGAGCCCTCCCCAAGCTGGAAGTGAGAGGGAAGAGCCCTCCCCAAGCTGGAAGTGAGAGGGAAGAGCCCTCCCCAAGCTGGAAGTGAGAGGGAAGAGCCCTCCCCAAGCTGGAAGTGAGAGGGAAGAGCCCTCCCCAAGCTGGAAGTGAGAGGGAAGAGCCCTCCCCAAGCTGGAAGTGAGAGGGAAGAGCCCTCCCCAAGCTGGAAGTGAGAGGGAAGAGCCCTCCCCAAGCTGGAAGTGAGAGGGAAGAGCCCTCCCCAAGCTGGAAGTGAGAGGGAAGAGCCCTCCCCAAGCTGGAAGTGAGAGGGAAGAGCCCTCCCCAAGCTGGAAGTGAGAGGGAAGAGCCCTCCCCAAGCTGGAAGTGAGAGGGAAGAGCCCTCCCCAAGCTGGAAGTGAGAGGGAAGAGCCCTCCCCAAGCTGGAAGTGAGAGGGAAGAGCCCTCCCCAAGCTGGAAGTGAGAGGGAAGAGCCCTCCCCAAGCTGGAAGTGAGAGGGAAGAGCCCTCCCCAAGCTGGAAGTGAGAGGGAAGAGCCCTCCCCAAGCTGGAAGTGAGAGGGAAGAGCCCTCCCCAAGCTGGAAGTGAGAGGGAAGAGCCCTCCCCAAGCTGGAAGTGAGAGGGAAGAGCCCTCCCCAAGCTGGAAGTGAGAGGGAAGAGCCCTCCCCAAGCTGGAAGTGAGAGGGAAGAGCCCTCCCCAAGCTGGAAGTGAGAGGGAAGAGCCCTCCCCAAGCTGGAAGTGAGAGGGAAGAGCCCTCCCCAAGCTGGAAGTGAGAGGGAAGAGCCCTCCCCAAGCTGGAAGTGAGAGGGAAGAGCCCTCCCCAAGCTGGAAGTGAGAGGGAAGAGCCCTCCCCAAGCTGGAAGTGAGAGGGAAGAGCCCTCCCCAAGCTGGAAGTGAGAGGGAAGAGCCCTCCCCAAGACTTCAGATGACGCATGTATCGGCTAACATGTCAACACCTTGTCCCACAAGTCTTCAGTGAGAACTTCCTTAAGCTACTGTTTTGAGGGCATTTGTTATCAAAATGCTAGCAAAAAAATTGAAAATGTAACATGAAAGTTTCCACTGTGTCTCGAAATTCCATCATTCACAAATGCATTTCTTCACCTCAAATGCACAATGATTTCAAATAAAATACGGCAAAGTCCCTTGGAAAGGGGCTATATTTGACATTATGTGCTCTGGAATTGGAGGTCTTGAGGTCTTGGGTCTACAAAGAAGCACTGAATAGCAGTAATCTTAAAAGGCTGGACGGAACTATACAACTTGACTGGAGGAACAATGCCACTTGTCTGTCATTTGTCACAGAGTTCCCTATATAGGGACTCCAGGCTCTAATGAAATCCTGGGCAGTGCTGCCCTTAGACTCATCCATGAAGTTTCATCCCATTCTCATTCAGTCACGCCCTTCACAATGGGATAAGGCTACTAGGGGACCAGTGGACATGCCTACAGAGGCAGCTTCATTCACTCCCAAACAATAATCCAGGTGTCCAGACCTCATTGTTCCTTATCTAACTATCCCTAGACTGTTCCCCAAAACTCCCATGGAATTTTCCCCTAGGTCCATGCCTCCATGGAGTGAACAACACTCTCAGTGTGGACACTCCTCCTCTTGGTAGTGATGACTGTGCCAAGTACTCTGAAGTACAGCCTGGGTCTGAAGATGAAGGGAGGGAGTCTAGCTGAGTCCCAGAGTGCACCTATCCTAGCAGTACTTTGATACACCCCAAACATGGTCTCCTGGTTCTTTACCAAGACACAGCTCTCAAAGCATGCATTCTTAAATAACTTGGTCCATAAGTCGAATGTTTGGGAAAACAGAATGTAAGCTTTCCATATACACTGCTTCCACAGACCCAGTGAACTCAGCACGGCCATGATTCAGAATGTGGTAGTTTTAGAGCTCTCCGTGAAGGTAGGAGTGTTGAGCAAACAGCCATCCATCAAAAGAGGACATAAGAACGCCCCAGCTTGGAAGCGAACACAAGGGAGAAAGACACTTGGTACGGTTGTTGGTTTTCGTGTTAACTTACCACAAATTAGGATCACCTGAGTAGGCGACCTTATTTAGAGAACTTCCCTGGTTGCCTTGAGTTATATTGGTAGCAGCCAGAAGACAAGATGTTTCAGGAGGAAGTATAAGTAAAATAAACTCTGTCCTCCTCATGTGGCCTCTGGCCATGACATATAGCACAGCAATAGAACCCTAACTAAGTCACTTGGAAAGGACTTGAACATGGAATTTAAGCACTACACCAAGGGTAGAAATTACTGCATTGTAGAAAACAGATATGGGCTCCCCACCCCTGGGCGGGGCTTTAAGGTTTTGACCTATAGTTTCCAGAAATGTAAAGTTCATATAACAAAGAGATATATGAATATTTAGGAAGGAATGGACCAAAGTCAAACAGGATCCTTCTAAATTGTAATTAGCCTTGTTCTGACAAGTGACCACGTCTTCTAGAATCTACAGTCACCATTTACAGCCTGCCTCTATATGACGGTCCACTTAGATCATTCAGAGTAGCCTTAACTCGGGATCTGGGCTTAATTATGGCTGCAAGGATCTATTTGTCAAAGTGAGCACATGTGTACTTTCTGGGTGGCTGCATCTTCTGCAGTCACTATTTCACTCTAAAATAATGAACTCTTCTATTTGGGTAGCACTCTTTTGTGTGCCCACAAACTGAATTACAGCTTGCTGCAAGCAGAAGAGGAGCCTTGATGTACCCATTGTGAGCTCCAGCCTACGTCAAGATCATAACTGCTGGCCTAGGACTTCAGACCTCCGTGAAAGTTGAGCATTACTCTCAAGGGAAATGAACTACGATTGTAATGGAGACATGAGGAAAAGAACACCAGACAACAGGAGGGGAGGCTATGGCAGTTCTTGGGAAGGTCCTAGAAAAACCAAAGCACAGTAAAGAAAAAAAAATACCACATGCTCTTACATTCTAAAACTCCTTATTTTATCACAAGCATTTCTAGAGATGAAACTTCAGATTCAAAACAAATTCTATTTCTTTCCCCCCAGGCAAAGAAAGGGAGAAAAAGAATCAATTTCCTGCACATTCTGTCCCATATTTTATAATTACATATCTTCATAGCACCACTTCATGCAAGATGTTAATATTCTTATGCATTATATATGTGGGAACCAGTCTTACAGACCTGAGGCATCTTGGCAGAATCCTACAGCTAGTACAAAGTACTGATACACACATGCTCAGCCTTCCTAGGCCTCGCCTGCTCTGATCTGAGTCTGGATTGGCCCTGCTCCCCACACTGGCTGCCCTAACAGAACTGATTTCTTTCCCCTGCCTTGGAAGCAGCTGTGAAGCATTTTTCAGCAGCTGCAGGAGAGCCAGAAGCTGGGAAAAGCTGCTTACACTACACTGCCACCTAGTGGGTCAATAACTGAGGCCTGGGGATAGCTTTTCTCTTTTTGTTATAATTTAACTTATGGATGTGTTAAGTTTTGCTTTTTCAGCTGTGAGGGCACGACTACCATGCCATCATAAACAGGCATCCTAAACCCAGGCTCATCCTGCTGCTGTATCAATTACTGCCAACGAAGTGGATAGAAACAACACACTCTTATGATCCTACTGTTCTAGGATGTAGATGTCATTCTAAATGGGTCTCACCAACCGCAGAAACCAGGGAAGTAAGAGGGGCCCATGGGGAGGGGGCGGCCAGGAGAAGGGCCACCAGAGACTGGGATGGTAAGTAGGACACAGGTGACATAAAGCAGGAAATGGTATAAGCAAAACGGGGTGGATGAAGAGAGGGAAATGCAGAGATAAAGAGAGAAAAGAGGAAGGAATAAATAATACTAGGGATGTTTGAAAAGAATATGGAAGTGAATTATTTTGTGTTTAATTACACATATGTGTGTACATATATAAATAATTTAAATAATGTTATACCACTATGCCAATAATTAAAGAAAAAACAAAACAGTACCAGACATGGAGCTTTTGTTGGTAATGGGAATCCCAAAACAAGAGATACTATTGATGGTGGCCCTGTTTACCTTCTAGGACATTGGTAAGAACTTATTGCTGAAGACATCACATACTTCAGACACTGGCCTTGAAAAAATAGAGATGGAGTTGACCTGGCAGCCTCCTCCCTGGGGATGAGCTCTCATAGCATCTGAAGGTTCTCTGTAAGATGTCTAGGAAAATAATCTCAATGACCAGCATGGTAAGATATTCTAATGAATGTGTTAGTGGCACTTATATCTTGGGGGTAACTAATAGGTGCTAATTGTACCTAAGTTCCACTCAATAAGAGAGAATTCATGCCTGGTGCTTTAAACCCAGACCCCTACCTATGGCTGGTACAGTCATGGATCCTTGAAGAGAACCAACTATTGACACTCTCCTAAATCAGTGTACTTTTTAAACTGCATCCTAAATATGTATCCTTATACCCACAGATAAGGACAGCTCTCATCACTCATTGAGAAGCTTGTTTTTACAGCAGATGGAGACCACCACAAAAGCCCACAACTGGCCAAAGCAGAACAACTGACGGTGGGGTGCCCACTCCCAATTGATACATCTACAACACAACCCCCATGCCTAAAGGTCAGGGAACAACACAGAAAGGAAGGTGGAAAGAGTGTAAGAGCCAGAGGACAAGGGCACCATCAATGAGATCTACTCCTCCTCCATTTCTATTAAGAAAAAGGCAGGCCTCCCATGGATATCAACAAAATATGGCATATCAAGTTGCAGTAAGACTAAGCACCTCTTTCTGTATTAAGGCTAGACAAGGCAACCCAGTGGGAGCGAAGGGTCTCAAAAGTAAGTAAAGGAGTCAGAGACAGCCCCTGCTCCCACAAGAAGACCGAGCTTTACTACTGTCACATATATGCAGAAGGCCTAGATCAGTCCCATGCAGGCTACCTGGTTGTCAGTTCAATTTCTGTGAGTCTCTATGAGCCCAGGTTAGCTGATTTCTGTGATTTTCTTGGGATGTCCTTCTACCCTCTCTTCAGCAAGATTCCCCGAGTTCTGACTGATGTTTGACTGTGTGTCTCTGCATCTGTTTCCCCCAGTTGCTGAATGAAGCCTCTTTATTACTATTAAACTAGGCACCAATCTATGAGTATAGCAGAATACAATTAGACATCATTACATTGGATGTGGATGGGAACATGAGGAATAAAATGGGGTGGGGTAGAGGGATAGTACTAAAAGGACCTACTAAAAAGGGGGGTCATTTGGGGGCCAAATAGAAACCAGATGCAAGGGAAACTCCCAGGAATGTACAAGGATGACTCCAGTGAAATGAGTCTTTTTCTGTCCAACAGCCAGCTCCCGAATAATGACATGGAGGCTTATTATTAATTATGAAAGCTAGACCTTGGCTTAGGCTCTTATAACTTAAGTTAAGCCTTTACATTCTGTTGCATGGCTCGTTACCTTATCTCTCCATACTGCTCAAGCTACTTCCTCTTCATCTGGCTGGTAACTCTGCCTTCTTCCCAGAGCTCTCTCTGTCTGCCAAAGCCCCACCTATATCTCCTGCCTAGCTATTGTCTGTTCAGCTTTTTATTACACCAATCACAGAAATACATCTTCACACAGTATACAAATATCCCACAACACTCCACCTAAGACTCCTGGCAATGGTAGATACGTATCCTGAACTGGTCATCTCCTATGACCAGGCAAGACTTCCAGTGAAACGACTGGGATACCAACCCAGCCACATAATCTTCAACATACAGACTGTCCTGACTATGGGATGTGCTGGGCTAAGGGTGGCACAGAGACTGTGGGAGTGGCCAACCAATGACTGGTCCTGCCTGAGACCCATGCCATAAGAAGGAGTCCATGCCTGTCACTACCCAGGGCCAGAACTCAGAAGCTTGATGGCCCAGAGACCTAGGATAGAACCAAACACAACTGGAGGAGATAGTCTTTTATATGACAGGGAGATGAATCCATGAAATTTTAGCAATAGAGTGGCATAAACAAAGTCTGCACGATGACAACACTAGCTGATATCCCAATATTGTTAGCGAACATCTCAGAAGGCCTCAGTCCTAAATGAAGAGCTATTTGGCAATTATCTAAAAGAGGAAGAACCATTCTTCCCAGGGACGAGCCCCCTGATAGGTTACTGAATACCAATGGCCAGCTTAAAACATGTACACACATGAGTAGCACTAAAGGAACTCAGCAGATTGTGTTTATATACATATATGTATAAGTCTGTGGGTGTGGGGGTGTCTGTGTAGCAACAATAATTAAGAAAAGGTCATGGATTTGAGAGGGAGTGGGGTGAAACACAAGAGGAACTGGAAGGAGGAATGGGGAGTAGAAATGATGTAAATGTATGAAACTATTAAATTAGTAAAGTAAATGTAATAAATACTATTGAGCCTTTCATCATCTTTGAATGAATAAATAAATGGATGAATGGATAGATGGATCTCACATGCAAATTCCCTCTGCTGATCACAGGCATAGCCTGCCTGTTGAATTTTACAGATTCTAGAGGTGTCAGCCTTCACTGGCTTGAAATCTTTCATCTTCAAAACGGACCACATGAGCCCAGCCCCGTCACACTACTCTCTTGTCGACTGACTCTTTTCCCTCTTTTCCTCACTGTGAAGGACTCTTGTGATCACATTCAGCCCACATAAAAGGTCCAGGAAAATACAGACATTCTTATTTTCAGGGTATTTGACGATCAACCTTAATTCCATTTGCTGCCTTAGTTCCTTGTTGCCAAGCAGAGGATAAATCTTAGATCAAACAAAGGGTTAGGGCCTGAGCATCTCTGTCTGTAATGAGGATGGGTGGGGGCATTGTTCTGCCTCAACACCCAAAAGAAGGGAAATGTGGACCAGACTGGGGTCAGCCTCCCTTTGAAGCCAGCTCTCCTTACCTGCTCCCTCCCTTCATTGCATGCTGTGGAGAGGTTTATAAGTCTAAGGACAGTCTAACTTCACTATATACAACACCACATTTAATAGTGGAGA